ATACTACTTATGTCTACATAAGTAGCACACACCACACTGGTAGCAATTAGCTTACGATCAAGTATTGATCGCTAAGTTTTAACTATCGACTGACATCAACATCAACATTTTAGTGAATATTGCCATATAATGATAGAACACGAATAATAAATTAGTAAAACGTTAAACTTTAAGTCAATCACATTTTCATCTATGTTTACTCAATGTATAAAATATCTATATTATTAAAAATACCACTGAAGGTTAAGAAGTATCCCAGACTGATTTAATATTACAATAAAGTTAGTTTATACAGTATCTAAGATCAATCAATGAAGTATTTTCTATGGATTAAACTTTTTGCAAACTGAGGATAAACCTCACTTTCAGTCACAATTTTGATCTTGCATCTAGTAACCAATCAAAACGAGGCGAGAAATATTATTTACAATATCGTAGTCTATAACGGAGGGCGTGTTTCATTCTTTTTCGTTTATGCTGGCTAATACGGAAAAATGTAAAGTTTCCTACCATAAAAATACCACTACATCATGCTATGGAAATGTTGAGTATAACGCAGTCAGTCCAGATGGAAACAAAATTACAATATATTAAAATTCATACCTCCAATTTATTCTATAATAGAAACTATTCCAAAAGATCTACAACAAACTATTACTATTATTTTAATTTCAGTGGTTGAGATCAATACCGCCTCGCGAGATTAAAACCAAAGACCTATCAGTCTCATGCGCGAGCGCTTAACCACTAGACTACTGAGCCGGTCGGCATCCAACAGTGTTAATGCCTAATTTCAACCAATCCACAAAATTGAGCGACACATCCACCATTATCTTCAGTGAGTTAATATCTCATAACAGACCTGGTTGAACTCCACTTATTACTGTTTCTCACTAGAACTCCAGGAAATACCTCTTGAAGCCAGTCACTAATGAGCATATATTGATTCATATCAGAAGGGTTTTTACAGATATTATGGTAATTTTAGTGGTTGAGATTATGAGTCAATTGAAGCTAGACCATCATTATAATTATTATTATTAACTGAGTGACCAAACAAACGAAAACACAATCATAATTACTATGATACAGTTAAGTGATTTAACAACGTGGAATTTATCCCCAACCCTCTTAAAAGCTAAAATAATTTTAATTTCATTAAAATATATATGGTTTATTTGGTTATTTTTCTATTCGCTAGTGATAACCTATCAAATTAGTATATAGATCACTATAAATATCTCCTACTGATTTAAACAATATAATTTATAAACAAGTTTTTTTAGAAGAAAAAATAAACAAATAAATAAACAATTCGTCAATTGATTGATCCATCGATTTGTTTTCATCTTTCATCTTTCCTTTATCCATTTATTATCAAAGAAAAATAGACGAAAAGATATTCAACACGATCTAATTCCACCGTCTAGAATTATTATTTTAATTAAAAAAAGAAAAAGAAAAAGTAAACATGAATGAAAAGTAAAACTAGACAGTAATTTTATGTTGTTTTCTTTTCTGTATTATTTTATTTACTTTAAATTTTAATTGATTATACATAAAAATGTGTCTTGATCCTTTTTATTTTACTGTTAAATTGTCTATCATGTCTGAATTAAATGGAATACAAAAGAAATGTATTCATATGTAGTTGAAATAGAAAGAGAGGGAGTAAAAGAGAATAAATACAATTGTGAATGAGATCTGAATATAACTATCATTAAAATCTTAATCATCACCATCACCACTATGATAACAACAATAATTACTGTTAGTATGACCACAGTATGACATTGATTGTACCAACGGTACATATTTGAAATGATTATAATGAGAAAGAACTCATCATCATCACTATCAAAAATAATTAAAGGAGCAATAGTTTAGAATTTAATTAAACACCTTTTTGAGCACAGCATGATTTTTACAACGACAAATACAACAACAACGATCATATTAAAGAAGCTGACAATAATGGTTGTATTGACATGTATTTATTAAAGAATTAACGTGTTTACTAACCAAATAAAAAAAAACAAACGATAAATTAAAAGAAAGGTTTTTTGTTTAGTTGTTTGCCAAGAGTTTGATTATATTTCCTCACTTTCACTCTCTCTCTCTCTTACATACACCCACTCTATGTGATTTTATTTCATGTGACAAACTGACATTGTTGTAACCATAAGATTCAATGAATTAACAATTAATTATCAATAATAACAGCTATACAATGTTTAGTTTACTTTTTAATTCATTGTTGGAGTTGATTTTCAAGAAAGAGTCTTGTTAAGCATTTGAAAATACAGGTGTCATGATGAATTTAGTATACGATAAAGAGAGGACTTCTGTATATCATAATACTGTAGGAGATGAATAAATGTATACATAGAGAATCACTTACTTTATACTTAAGACGATTATCCAAATAACATGAAAATGAGTTGTTATTATTATTATTGTTGTAAATTTCAATCATTCTATTACTTTTATACAAAGATGTATTAATTCAAATATTGGACTATGGTCAGTTCAGTGCTTCCAGGTTTTTCATGGTTGTCTGGCTTCAATTGACTCATGAATTCAACTACTAAATTACTTTTAATGAACCATAAATTTCAATTAAACCGATTTCTGTAAATTTGTTTAAGTGATTGATCAGAGGATAAATATCTCAGTTTATAATAATTTTTTCGAAGTTGAATTTATAATGTTGCACAGCCCGGGTAAATGAGGAGGGTTGGGCATAGGGTCAACAACCTCATTCCGTAGAAAACAATTTTGCTACAAAAAAAAAACTCTAACCAGAATAAACAACAATATAGTAAACACTAAAATAAAGGTAATAAACAGGATATCATAATTTGTAAAGAACTATCAAGTTTTTGATTTGATCTCCTATTAAATGGTTCCCAAGTAAACAGTCTTTTTTTCAGAGATACCTTTTTATTTTTATGTAAGTTATATTCATTAACACACAGAGAAGTTCAATGGAACAAATCTTGTTAGACTATTTACATAATATTCGCTTAACTATAACTTATCATATGATAAGAAATGACTACTCCTAATAGTAAACGGGATATATCTCAATGAATGTATTGAATTTTTACAAAAATAAAGATGAATCAATTAATATTAGAATTCGCTTGGTATTGTTTATTTGGATCTTCCCATTCATGTTTAGGACTGCAAATGATCAGTCTCTTATCGGCACATGTATCTATTATGCGTATTGCCTCGATCTTGCTGTAATTCACCTCATTGCACAAGCAATTGGCTGTCAGGACTCGGTAGCTAGATGAATAACGCGATGGCTTTTGAAACGAACAATACTGAATTCGAGTCCCAGCATAAACATCAACTCTGAGATGCAGGTACATCCAGTTGACAAGTCCCAAATAGAACGATACACGAGTCGTGGATTCCACCATTAGCTACTATCAATCTTTGTTTAATATTAGAATATTGTAGCATTAAAAAAAAAATCGAATTACTATTTATTGTTTTGGATAATAGTAATTAAACAGACTGATTTTCTTACTTTACACTAATCAATCAATCAATCCATCAGCCCGTTTTAACTATCCACCGCCGTACAAATTAAAATATAATGCACAGATAAATTGACAGAGAATAAGTGCTTTTAAAGGGTTTTTTCTCTTTGTACTTTTATTTTTTTTACATTGAATGAATTCCCCTTAATCTATGACTATTATTTAACATTTTAAACTGAACTTATATGTGAATATTAAAATTGACATATTTACAACTAATTTCTAATCAATCATGAATCCGTTTTTTTAATTTTGTTTTCACCTTTCGCATTTATTCAATTGGGGTAGTAATAATCACATAGACAGACAATGATTATGATCTAATTCTTAGAAAGGTAAAGACGCTTATGTTTAAAACTAATGTATACTATATAGAAAGTGATAGTAATCAATTGTGTTTATAAAACATAGATAAGTTCTAAAGTTTTAGTTAACGTAATCTATTATAATGTATCATATGTAATTAATCATAATGGTACTTAAATTGAATGACTTTTTAAAAATTATAATAACTTAGAAGATAATTGTAAATGAATGGAAGTTATTTTGAAGGTAGGCATTAACAAAATTGGCTCAGTGGTCTTAAAGTTAGGCATTTGAGTGTGAGGTCGAATGTCCTGCGTGCAGGACGATTAGTGTGTACTGTTGAAGAATTCCATACTAGAACACAATGGCCGTCCAATGCATTTAGGTTTTTAGTGATGGTCTAACATTGATCGGTTAATGGTATTAATAAAAACGTATCTGTAATAGCCAGAAATCTAAGAATTCATTATCTATGTAAACAAAATATGCAGACGAATACTTCTTAGATTTTTCGCTAATGCTATCATTATCACCAATTATACAAACTTAAAGCAATGTGAAGATGATAGAAATTGAAAAGAACTTGGTAGGCAGTTGATTTATACTATCGTTCTAATCAATCAACTTATTAGTAATCTAGAGTTTTGTAGGTTGAATATAATTTTCTTTTTTTGGTTTACATTTATTATATCAGAAGGGGTTTTGTGGATATTATAGTAATTTCAGTAGTTGAGATCATGAGTCAATTGAAGCTAGACCAGCATGGAAAACCTGGAAGCACTGGACGGCTGTTGTGAGATAGTAACTTACTGAAAACAATGGTGGATGGTGACGTAGTCTCGTGAATTGTTTGAAGTTAGACATTAACACTGTTGGACGCCGACTGGCTCAGTGGTCTAGAGGTTAGGCGCTCTCGCGCGAACCTGACAGGTACTGGGTTTGAATCTCACGAGGCGGTATTGTGGATTCTCACTACTGAGAAGCCCCATAATAGGACGAAACGACCGTCCAAATCATTGAGGTTTTTCATGGTTGTGTAGCTTCAATTGACTCATGATCTCAACTATTAAAATGATTATTCAACTAAATAATATATCCATTTTTTTTCGCGAGTATAATCTATGTGTTTATATAATTTAGATACCTATAAACTACTATCCAAATCTGATGATGATCAATTCAATACTTCTGATCAATCTATAAATCTCTCTAAACCATTCTTATATTCAAATCAATATCAATCGGACAATTATCATCATAAACAAACATTAATACCTGAAATACATAATTTTCATGAACATCATAAATCTGATATGACTAATCAAATCTTATTAGATTCATTACATATGCTCTGGTCAAATCAATGTTCTGTATTGAATTCATCAGAATTAATAAAACTTTTTAAACGATATATAGAATCATATCGTCATAATGTATCAAGTACTAAATCATTATCAATACCAACATCCATAACAACTAACACTAGTAATACGTCACTTGTTAATAATAATTTCAATAAAACTAATGAAGGATTAATAAGAAATCATAATTCAACCAATACTTGTCATTTATATGAACATAATCAACCATCTTTTCAAGCAATTCCTTCAAATGTAATCAATTCAAATTCTAATAAAGAAATAAAACATTCCTCGGATAAATTTACTTCAAATTTAATAAATAATAATATTAAATCACATTCTTACAATCAAAACCATTTAATTCATAATGGAGTTGAAGAAAAATCATTAAACAATAGAAGTGAAACAATGAATACGGTTGTTCAACAGTCTAACCGTGATACTACTACTTCTACTACTACTACTACCACTATTAATACTATACTACTACTATTACTACTACTAGTAATATTGATAGCAATAATGATAATGATGATGACAGAATGTCACCAAACCTTCATACAGTGACAAGACGTAGAAAACGTCGTATTTTATTTAGTAAATTACAAACTGCTAAACTTGAAGAGTGTTTCAATGAACAAAGATATTTAACAGCTTCCGAAAGAGAGCATTTAGCTAGAATATTAAATTTAACACCGACACAAGTAAGAAGTTTTGTAATTATAAAAATTAGACAAATGTACAATATTTTACTTCTTTTTACGTGAATGTTTACGTTATTCTACAGGTTAATGTATATAGTTAATTAGCTAATTTGATATTCAGTCAAATATTTATTATCATTTCATTAGTTGACCAAAAGTCTATAAAAAAGTCATATCAGGAATGAATCTATGACTACTGTCCAATACAAGTTTATGATATGATATAAATGGAAAATGTTTTTCTATCTAAAATACGAGCATGATATACACGACTGACTGAATCACAAATCCATATCCAGTGGAATGATAGAATTATCTAACACTGCATAATACGAACTAATACTAGTGTTAGATGATTTCCCTCGATTTCATCTCTTGTCAATAAATATGAATTCATCAATATTCTTCAAACAAATAAATTATTGAAGTAAATGTCAGTATCCATTAATCTGAAAGTTTTCAATATATCGGAGATAAAATATTAGGCTAATTAATTCGATTAAGATCAATTTTCCCTAGTTCTATTATATTTAACTAGTATAGTGGGTCCTATAATGTTCCTTTCCTCTGGGAATTTAGCATTTAATTTTTAAACATAACAAAAGAAGTTAATACTATGGAGATCTGAAATAATACTCTACTTCTCAAAGTGTTTTGTTACGGTTTGGCGGAGTTTCGATCTCTGAGCTGGATGTTTTGACCGTGCGGCTTTCATCGTTCCTCTGAACGACATCATCAGGTAGAAGTTTGTGCTGATGATGTCGTTCGGAAGAACGATGAAAGCCGCACGATCAAAACATCCAGCTCAGAGATCGAAACTCCATCGAAATCATCCACTTGAGCTACAAATCTTCACCAACTCATTAGAAATCCCTGTACACTGTCTATTTATCACCAAAAACCACATTTTATTGCTGGATCATGCACTGTTTTAAGAATACTGGTTCTAACTTACAAAATGATTAGGTTTAGGTTTTTGTGAAAGTTGTTTAAAACAATTATCTAAGAAATTTTTTAATAGTTGAGATCATGAGTCAATTGAAGCTACACAACCATGAAAAACCTGAATGATTTGGACGGTCGTTTCGTCCTATTATGGGGCTTCTCAGTAGTGAGAATCCACAATACCGCCTCGTGAGATTCAAACCCAGTACCTGTCAGGTTCGCGCGAGAGTGCCTAACCTTTAGACCACTGAGCCAGTCGGCGTCCAACAGTGTTAATGTCTAACTTCAAACAATTCACGAGACTACGTCACCATCCACCATTGTCTTCAGTGAGTTAATATCTCATAACAGACCTGGTTGAACTCCACTTATTACTGTTTCTCACTAGAACTCCAGGAAATACCTCTTGAAACCAGACTAAGAAATCTAAGAAATAGATAATCAACCATAGAGTCAAATTTATTGCTCATACACTATGAATGTATCTATAATAGATAGCTAAGTTCTTAATACCCTTAATGTTTTGTGAATTATGGAACTGAACATTCAGTTACTGGAATTTAATATAACACATTAACACACACACATACACACACACACAAAATATTTTCTGTAACTTAACTATAAATTAATAAAGAATTTAATAATTCTTTTTAATCAATAGGTTAAAATTTGGTTTCAAAATCATCGTTATAAAATGAAACGTGCAACACAAACTGATGAAATCTCTTCAAATACATTCATAAAAAGATCAAATAAAATAATTCCCTCAACAGAATTCAATTCATCATCTTCTTGGAATTCACAATATTTAACAAATCATACAAAATGGCAATCATTAACACATCAAGAAAGAAACACTTTATTAAATGAAATATACAATTCAAATGAATTAAACAAATTATCAAATCATGATCACATTAATCAATCAAAAAATGATCATTATGAAAATTTCAAAGAACCAAATGAAAATAATAAACAACAGAATAATTCAGAACATAAAATTCAATCCATTAATTACACTGATATATTTGAAAAATCATGGTTAACAAATTGGGTTAAAATGATTTCTAATTCGTATACAAATGATACTATGAATATGCATGATATACATCATTATCATAAATCAGAAAAGTTACGAAATAATTATGATATCTCTACAAAAATAATCAATAATTTTATGGATCCATGTAATGATGATGTAAGAGTAAATCAATCTGATATTACATCTACAGATGAACTATATAAAATAGAAAAACTTAAATCATTTAAAATTGCAAATGCTACAATATCATCTGAAAAATTATTACAAATATGCCAACCGGTTTTAGAAATAGATCAGTAGATTGTTATCAAATATTAGGTAACCGATTTCTGTCACATTGGATAACACATTTTTTTTTTGTTTTTTTAAAAAAGCTATCTCTATAACTTTTTCGAAGCTGCTAACGAACATAAAGCTTAGATTAATCAAATGAAAAATCTGTCTAAATATTTAATAAATATTTCATATTGTTTATTTGAGTAGTATTAAATTGTCTTTTTTTAAAGAATTTATTTCGATATTTTATTGAATGATGTGATGGATTCTATTGTTTAAGAAAATCAATTCATTTTAATGTTTACTTCTCAACTAAACCGATGATATGTCGTCCTGAATATACCTCTTATTTAATTTTTTTTTTGTTCCCTCCATAATTAAACGTTTATAATTTGTGCTACTTACAAGTAATCAAACGAATTCTGTATATTTTTCTTGTGTCATTATAGTATTTGTCATAAGATTATCTATAATAATGATGTTTTTAATTATTGCTTCAGCAGTTATTATGAAATACCCTGAAGAACAAACAACAGATAAATCAGTAAACTCTATTCATTTATACATTCCAGTAAGTAACATAGAGCTAACTTGAATGATTACAATTCAAAGTACCATTATCCGACAATAATCAAAAGTACTGAAACTAACTGATTTGACTCAAAAGGGGTTTACTACGAAAATTCCATGTAAACATCAAAATTTAATACAAGTCCCTTGACTAGATCAAATGATTAGTTTCGTAAAAGACTTAAAAGGGATTACAAAAATTAGGATACACAAAAGAAACCATACATAAACATAAACACATCCATTGTAAAGTCTAGACCGTTGGTAGCTGTGGTGAAATGACATCACTGTATATGATATTCCTTCGTTGAAGTCACGTTTGTACACTTCTGCTTAATTGCATCATTGAATTGTCTTTATTTTAATTGATAAGACTCAATAGCTAAGAGGATAACGCGATGGGTTTTGAAGCGAACGGTACTGGGTTCGAGTCCCGGAGTGAATATCAACTCTGGGATGCACGTATATCCAGCTGACGAGTCTCAAACAAGACGAAACGCGCGTCCTGGATTCCAATACTAGGTACTATCTATCTTTACTTAAAAAGCTAGTGAATTGAGGTTATATCGAGGCAATCAGCACAGGATGCACATATACCAACAAGACTGATCAATTACAGTTCTGAATAACAATCGGAAGATACAAGTAAAACAACAACACCAAGTGAATTTAGACATAATTCATATTTTGAGTTTGAATGTAACTTATAGACCTGAGAACTGAATTAAATAATTTTAAGCAAATCAGTTGCAATAAGAATATTTTCGTACATGATTAACTTTCTAAAGCCTGAGTGTTATTTTATTGAATAAAATCTCACATTTTTTCATATACATTTCAGCAGGGAACATACAATCAGAGTTTATAGTCATCAAATAATTGATATTTCTGCATTAAAATGTTCTCAAATGTGAATAACTAGAGCATAAATTTCGATAATAAAATCTCAATCACGTCCACAAATTATCAACCTGTGTAAACATTTTCAACCTCCTTTTGACCTTACCTAATCGGCTGAATGAAAAAAATATACTGCAAATGACTGAACTTAAAAAGGAAGTAAGATTAATGTTACATCTAAACGAAGAATAAATGAGTGTTAACCGCTAGGAATCATTTATAGACTTTTATTACGTAAATTCCTATTGGATAACTATTAAGTAACTAGATTATATGTATATTCGTAATCATCTTATCACAAGCTTTCATTTGATCTATCAGCTACAGTAGTACGATTTACCATTCTTAATTTATTAGCTACAGTCTTCTAAACTCACAGCCACTTTCGGCTTGATTCTGTATAAGTATTATTTTCCAATTTATGGTGTTATGAAGTCTGATCGCTTTGTATATAAACCATGTATGTCTGAAATATACGATTCATGTAGTGGATGCTGTTTGTGTTCTGAACTGAACGGTCTGAATTAGGCAAGAAGCCACTAATACAGAGGACCAATAAGGACACATAGTTGACTCAAGGCTACTCGTGCTGGTTAACACACCACTGGTTTGGCATAATGCCAAGGTCATATAAGTCGGTGCTCTGATTGACGGTTTTATCACATGATGTTTGCAGAACCACAAGGCATAACAATTATACAAAAAATTAGATTTAGAGATTAGCGTAATAATGTACTTCAATATAAAATTTGATGACTAAACAGACGTGGAGCCATTGATTTTTACGTATCACGAAGTCTTGATAGAATCCAGAACTGTGAAGATATTGACAGGCGAAATAATTTGGATAGTAAAAATTTTGAAATCAAAAGGAAAGCATTCAAAGTGAGTTAACTTTGAAGGAATTATAGTAAAGTGTAATTAATTTCTTTTGTTTGTAAGCACTTCATGAAGACTCGTGGACAAAAAACCCTGGAAAATCTAGTCAGTTTCACAACTGAACGTATTGATCAAATACTCACACTTCATCTGATCTTGGGACATAAGTAGACGTACCGACGCTTTACCATAATATTATATGTCGACTTAAAGGCAGCATTCAGTTCCGCCGACTGACAGGTTGAAGGGCAAATAAGTTAATGTATCTTAAGAAAGATCTTTGCTCAAACACTAATTATGTAGTCAAAATTTATAATAAACCGTCAACCTTATGTAGTGTTCGTCAGGGTTGCATACTTTTTTCATCTTTGACTTTGCCACAGAAATTCTTTTAGAGATAATTCTCTCGTCGCCTAACCATTTAGAGATTGATGCCCGAGCACGAGACCCACATATTAATTCGCGAAATGGAGATGATACAACCCTGTCTGATCGTGATCCTGACAAAATGCAGTCTCTTGGGAACCTTGAGCAAAAAGGCGACCATGTATGGGGTGCGTTTCTCAGCCATTAAATGTGAAATGCTACTTCAAAACAGGTCTGTGTCATTACCTAAATCACAGAGAGTAATATAGTTGGTGATACCAACCATTTCACTTATCTTGAAAATCTGATTAGCCCTGGTGTTGGTGTTTGACGTAATCTCAGCACAAGTTCGAAAAGCTCGCCTGGCTTTCCCCAACTTGCTACATGTATAGATGAGATATCCATCTATGGACCAAATGTCGAATATCTTACAATTGGTTAATCACTGGGTGGTGATCAATGTCATGTGTGTCAAGTCCTTATTATTAGTGCAGATCGAATGCTATCGACCAAGTTGCGATGTGGCCACCAGTCTAGATAACTCGACGCTGCGCGCACTATATTGAGATAAGATGGTGGTTGGAAGTAGTCAACAGGAAACCGTAGACCCGGGTTTTGTGTTACTCGGCACTCGTCAGCAAGGTGTACCTGTAATCTTGAATGAACTGGTGCTCCTTGACGGATTCGATCCCGTATCACCCAGCTTCACATTCAGAGACGCTACCAATGGGTTATCCGGGCCGCAACCGACCTCCTGTAGAACTGAGATGTAATCACAATTGATTGATTCCTGGGTGGTGATCAGTGCCATGTGTGTCAAGTCATTCTTAGTGCAGATCGAACCCGTCAGGGAGCACCAATTCATTCAAGATTACAGGTACACCTTGCTGACAAGTGCCAAGCAGCACGAAACCCGGGTCCACAGTTTCCTGTTGACTACCTCCAACCATCGTCTAATGTCGAGTATCTTCTACAACAGTTTGCCCTGTATTACTTTATGATTATGAAACTTGGTTCATGAAAGGAGAAGATATGTGTAGGCCACAGTTTATTGATCAGTCTTTAAAGCATTGCCCCTGTCTGGTGGAACGACAAAGTCATCGGCAGTGAGAATAAGCATAGGGTATTTAGTAAAAGTGACAAATCAGTTGAAAACGTATTGATTTTTTGACTGAAGTGTCTGGGACATGTCTCACGTACCACCAACCTTGATAAACAATGTTAACTGGCGTAAAAGTTGACTAAAACGAAACATGACGTCAGTCTATCAAGTAATTGGCTGTTGAACCAAGCCGTGTTGGTGGAAACCACTTGATTGAGATCACCATGATTACTGAACCAATAGTTGGAGACATTAAATGATATGCCTCAAATTTGCTCAGTTTTTTCTTCTTTTAGATCTTGAGTTTCGAAGTTATCTTATACTTTTTTATTCCACAACTTTCCTCCTTTTCAGATTAAATTATCCACACTTAATCTTCCCTACTACCAATGATATTACAACCGAAACGAAGAAAAAAAGCAAAAAGACAAACCGAAAGTTTATTTCAACTTTATTCGTAACAAAATATCCCACATCAAGCTTGTAATGTATACACATTAACCGATAAAGTTAGAGATTAGAATAATTCCAGAAATATCAAATATCACTTTTCTTTTCTATCTGACTAAATGAAATAATCACAAACAAGTTGAATATCAAATGAAAAATAGATGAATATAAAAGATAGTAAAATTATATAAAATCTAACAAACACATAGAAATACGAAGTTGAAGAATACCTAAGCCGTTATATCATAATAAAACAATAATTGAAACATTTTCTAATACCTCTTATAACAAACCTGAAATAATTACGAATAGAAAAGTGGAAGAAAGAATAAATGTTATCTCATGCATAGAAAGAGAAAAAAAAATAGGACAAAGAAGAGATAAAGAGATCTTGAATAAACTAAACATAGAACTGTACATAAATGTAGAAATATACATTACATTAGATAAAGAAATAACAATTCTAATCTGAAGATTTACTAGAAACATTCACATTGTAATCTCCCTTGTTTTTGTTTGTTTGTTTTTTTTTTTACAACAAAAATTTATTTAAGATAAACATCCAGCAACTGCAGCCACTTTACTTGGATTAGATATTTCTTCACCAAGAGAATCCAAAATTTCACGACGATAATCATCAAAATCACCATCTATTTCATTAATTCCAAGATCTTCTATAACCCATAAAATACAATTTGTATCTCGAATTAAACGTTCATCATGACTAACAACAATAACACCTAGAAGAAAAGAAATCATTTAGTACAGATAGAAATAAGGTTTAAATAGTATACCATACAAAAAAATCACAAGATACCTTTTATTGGAAACTCATTACTATGGCTAATAAACAAGTAGTAAGAGTAGATTAATTTGAGAATATAATTTAACAATGTAGAATTCTGGTTATTGAGTGATATAAATTGCATTCTAAGATTAAATATACACTAACAAAACAGGAAATAGATCACTAGCATGAAGTAAACTGTAATCCAAAGAGCTAAATTGAACTTTTGAAATCAAATAGTTTTTCAATATAATCTTTTTATAAATTCGAAATTCATACTATCATTAACTCATTTGTCACATGTACTTGACTTTAAGTGACATTTTAAATGTGAGAGGTAGTGACATATCGGAGATTCTGGATACCTAGAAGTTACTTGGTAAACGCTCCATTTTTAAATTTATTTTTGGATATTTGAATTTCTCATTTTCGTCTCAGAAGTGCCCAATTTTACCTTCAGTTTTTATATTCCATCTGTAAGGACCTCAACTGTAATTGGTTCGTCTCCTCTTTCGGTATCCTATTTTGCGACTTTTTTAAAGGACACTTTCGTATGGTATACATACGCAGGAGTCGTGTACTTGTCATTCGTTCTCCCGGACTGCTAGTGCAATAAATATATTTTCTCGGCTGAATCTGATCTTTTCCTTCTCGTTATCAGGGCTGATGCTCAGTAGAATAGCGTAGTTCATCCTGCTGTCGTGTTACTGACTTTCGTTCCATTTGCCAGGCCTAG